CACCAATACTTGTAATTGTTGTTAACTACTAGTTGACCATGTGCATAGCAGAAACCCGTCTCGCCAAGATTGCTCATCTCGAAACGACAACACCATACCATTCCTGTCTCACATTCCTTGAGAAGCTCTGACACTCGAACCGTGTGAATTTCTAATAGTGATGCTATCGCTCCGCTGCGGTTGTCCGACTCGATAAGCGCCCGCGTGAAATGTGCTATCACGAGGAACAATCTGTAACCACAGAAATGGAATATGGAGTAGTTATCCGAAGCCTACCCTTTACGGGCTTGAGGATCGAGCTTGGCTGAGCGCGAGCTGTGACGAGTCGTCAACGGTGCGAACAAGCGACTCGCTATCAACTGATAATGTGTTTGCCAGGTTTCCTCTGGGGTAGTCGACGTGAGATGACGCCAAATTTCTACTACGGTCTGTGAAATGACCTGAAAATGTTGGAATGTTGGCTTGCCTCGGCTGAGCATGGGAGTTTTCTTACTAATTATCATAATTAAATGGTGAACTCTCATAATTAAATTATGGAAGTTTACCAATTAATTTGGGTAGAAATGTACAGAAACCAACACAAATTTTTCCGAATTTTTTCACGATTTTCATATTTCGTGACCTTGTCAGATCTGATCATTCTAACAGTCCCGAGCTGAGCACTACTGAATCCTTGCGAATTCTTTTTTGAGGGCTGAATACCTAGGTTAGTAACCTTGGCATTCAGCCCAACACGATGATCAAGTAAGAGCATTCAATTCACAAAGTGAATTCGAGTGTGTGTTTTCTATGCTAATGCTAATCTGGCAAGGCATGGCTTAGCGACAGTATCTTACATCTCCCGTAGAGTGTATTGCTAATGCCTTGGTGAGAGTTGACATAATGGCATCTAGTAGTTGATTGCCATTCTCGATGAAGTAAGAAGGATCGACGCGTAGATGATGTTGAACTAGATACCCCAGTAGAGATATATGCTCCTGATAATGAGTACAGAGTGTCGAGATGGAGCGATATAAAACTATCAATACCACACCATGGAGAATCCCTATATCTACACAGTATATGTTCGTAGCAATGCTTACATTGATATATGCGAATAATTATCAGAACGATTATCGTTAATTTCAAGAAAAGACGCGCATTTATCGCATTTGCATGTCAAATTGGCACGCACTGTATACTAGGAACAGTGATATGGACGTCGTATACTATGATACCTCATTTCACTGCGGAAATTCAATCACGGCTTAGCGTTGAAGGATACAAAAACCAACGAGAATACCCCAGAATGTTCCCATTATCACCGACATATGTAGTCGATTTTATGCATATTTTCTCACAGAGTCAAGTCCGATGAAAATAACGATCTGTATGAACATGATACTATGAGTCATAGTCTATGACTGAATTAACCAGTGTTGGAGGGATCCTTGTTGGCTTTTCTCAGCTGAGCTACGGAGTTTCCTCACTAATTATAGAAGTTCACCTATGGATTCGGGTAGAAGTTTACAGAAACCAACGAGAATTTCCCAAAAATTTTCATATTGTCACCAACACATGCAGTTGACCTTGTGCATATTTTACGACACACTAAAATTAGCCGTTTTAGACTCGGATGAGATCGATGAGTTTCTCCACAACCCTCACGTTACGCGAGTCGCTCCTCTGCTGTGGCCTGCCATATGCCTGTGGTTCAGCAGTAGACTCAATACGGCATGGCGATCTTGAAGAGGGGACTCGGGCGAGCACCAACTTGCTATGATATGCTGTAGTTCGTCAACGGCGATAGAGCGTGTTGAAGATGCATCTTGAAAACAACGCGGTGATTCTCACTTGAATTTATTCGTGTGTATTCGTTACTGTCTCTATACGTTGGTGATATCATTAGCGTTTTGTGTAATGTGTCTACTACTAGGCTGAGGCATTTTGTTTCTTTAACTACTCATAAGGTTATTAAACGTAATAGTATTAGTTGCGTTAACTATTAACTGGGCAATCTGTTACACCTACACATAGTGTGAGAATGCACGTTTGATTATTTAGCCTCCCAGAATAGATCACGATTCACATCTTTGTGATTTCCAAGACTGTAAGTTACTACCAACATTATCAGTGGAGTTTCACCCGTTTTACGTGAAGTGGCGTAAAACTTTGCGAAAAACGCGATTTGCGCGGCCTGTAGTAGTCGTAAAATATGTTTTTCACTAGTGTTTTCCATATCACGGGTGAAACTCCAGTGTTGGAGTAGGAATAAATGTTCGATTTTTTCAACTGAGCTCAGAACTTTATATACGAATTCGGGTAGAAGTTTTCAGAAACCAACGAGATTCTCCCAAAATTATGTCCATATTTTCCCACGAAGATGAACAGCAGATGGAGTTTATCTGTTTCTGTGGAAAATGCTCCTTCACTTAAGAGTGAGATAATTTCGAGCGATAATATTTCCATATTGGTTTACCAAGTCTCTCCATGCTCCTAAGAATTGCCTTTTGGATCTGATTTCCTCGACGTCGTTTCTCGAGACTCAGAGTTGACTGGTAACTGTGCCGCCGCATTCTGGTAAGTCCCCATGTTGGAACTCTAAAGAGGCGGAAGAGTTATGTGTGTATTGGCATTCCAATTTGATATGCGCAAATTTTCCGAACAACTTGTCGCTACCACAATTTTTACACCACTCATGCAATATAAACTAAAATCGATTCTTATTAATTTCTGACATATGCATATCAAACTGATATGTACCGTATAAAAAAGTTTCCTTACTTTTCATCGGCGGTGTTTCGAGTCGTCATCAATGGTGACACGCTGAATTGTCGTTTTACTCTTGGGGAGAATCTGTTCGTTCGTGGAGTGGGAGATAATGATTGTGAGCGGGACATTGGTGAAATGCTGTAGATTGGGCTAATATAGCGGTTTGCTACTAAGTAGGAAAGTAGCACTACTACAGAGTACACTTTAGAGCAATTCATTATAGTTCAGAGTTTAGCACTAGAGTACACTTTACTCTACTACTGTTATTATTACCTCTACAGTAGAGTACACTTTACTCTACTACTGCTATTATTACCTCTACAGTAGAGTACACTTTACTCTACTACTGTTATTATTACCTCTACAGTAGAGTACACTTTACTCTACTACTGTTATTATTACCTCTACAGTAGAGTACACTTTACTCTACTACTGTTATTATTACCTCTACAGTAGAGTACACTTTACTCTACTACTGTTATTATTGCCTCTACAGTAGAGTACACTTTACTCTACTACTGTTATTATTACCTCTCCAGTAGAGTACACTTTACTCTACTACTGTTATTATTACCTCTCCAGTAGAGTACACTTTACTCTACTACTGTTATTATTACCTCTACAGTAGAGTACACTTTACTCTACTACTGTTATTATTACCTCTACAGTAGAGTACACTTTACTCTACTACTGTTATTATTACCTCTACAGTAGAGTACACTTTACTCTACTACTGTTATTATTACCTCTCCAGTATCAGGCTGTTGCCTTGTAAGGAATTCTCCAGCGATTATATTCGGTGTAGTGTTATGTCAATGAGTTGTAAAGCACAACCTCTACAAGTGTTGCAATGTTGCGCAGAAAACATGTGATGTTATAAGTGAGTTTTGGGTAAAATGGTAAGCCTTGCGTTGAAGCCACATACAATGGGTGGGTCTATTCACTCGCAGAGTGAATCATCAACATTCATACAAGAGAGAATTCACCGCAAATGCGAATATCGGGAATTCTGAGGTCGCGAAAAATGGATTCGCGATTGAGCCTTGATATTTATAAGTTCCTTTTTACTCAAACTCAGCCTTCAGTTGAGACGCTTCACTCGAGGTTTGCATCCGATCTCGCTAGAGCAGAGAATATCAAGTGACTTCATTGATGAGTGATACTGTGTCTCTAAC